CCCCTAGAGGACAGAATGGAACTGCCCCAGAGGGTCTCCAAGGCTGTCAGTCTTTACCATAACTGACTGCCTCATCTTTCTCCCGAGGAGTGGCTGGTGCATTCAAACCACTGACTTTTTGGTTAGTGGCTAAGCACTTAACCCACTGCACCACCAGAGCTCTTGATTGGCCTGGGCAGATCTGTAGTCCAAGCTATGCCTGTCAGGTTCTTCCTGGGCACCAGGATGGACTGAGAGGTTCCACTTCCGTTTGCACTGACTGAAGGCAAACGTGGGGTGGTGTGGGTGACCATCTGCCTCCCTAGTCCAGAGAGGCAGAGGGACCACGTTGGCAGAACAGAACCAAGAAGAGATACCTAAGACCCAAGAGACAGCAGCTACCATGCTTCCAGTTCCTGTTGCCAACCCTCAAGGGGGAAGACGTTGTATCCCCACCCTGCTGAGCAGTTCAGGCCTTCTAACTGTCCCTAGGGGACACTGTGTGTTAGGGATACTTTTCCTTAGCTCCTTTTGCAGGTATCTGATGCTGCGTAACAAACCATCCCCTGAAATGTCATTGGCCTCAAAGAAACTGATTCATTATCTTGAGTCTGAGTGGACCGGCTTAGCTGGGCTGTGATGTGGGCCAGGCTGCTCGTAGACATACGTTGAGCTGGGAGAGAGACGGGGGTGGAGGCTGGAGCAGCCCAGGGTTCCATCTCCAACGCCCGGGATCTCCAACCACGTGGCCTGTCATCATTCCATAGTCTAGCCTTCACCTCTTCACAGTGTGGTAGCTGTCTCTCTAGAGGGAGGAAGTGGGAACCGTGGACCCTGTACAGCCTGGGCTCAAGACAGGTTGGCCCAAGCAGGTCGAGATGCCTGCCAGGTGCAAGGGGAGGGAAACTGGACCACATCTCTTTGTATTGTGATGTGGGTGAAGGTTTATGGAGCATATTGGTTTTCCGCCCAACAATTCAGACACATTTTGTTTCGTGACACCGACTGCAATCCCCTCCATGTAATGACACTGTTCCCACTCCCTCCCTGTTTCCTGTTTCCCCTCCTCCTTTCCTATCCCTTCCTGCCTTCTGAGCTTTATCCCTGAGCAAATGCTGCCCTTTTGATCTTGTACGGTTGATCTGAAGCATTCTTATCCCCCTGGTGTTAGACCTCATAGCCTGTTGTTTGGCTGCAAGTTGAGCTCAGGGTGTGGCGGGGGGCATGTGTGCTCACTTCCAGTCTGGATGCCATCTCTTGATGGGAAGAATGACTTGCACTTGTGGGGATGGGGGAGTCAGTGGCCGTGTTTGGATACTAGCTGTCACACCTTCCTGCACCTACAGCTGATACTCCATGACCAGGCCCTGTACCCTAACAGAGCTCATCAGATGTATTGATCAGGATGATGGTGATGGTTGTGGCAAAAACATACACATCAACACATTTTTCAACTCAATCCTGGACAGAGTGTGCAAAAAGGACAAGGAGGCCACATGTGCCGACCT